CTGCTCTGGTCTTTGACTGTAATAAACACACTGGCTGGGGAATTCTGGAAGTTGAAGTCCACAAGTCTTACAGTTGCCAGGTTTGGAGTTCCCTAGTCTATTCTATTGCTTGGGGCAAGAATCCAAATTAAAAACAGCCACGACAGATAATTATATAGCCTCTGCTTAAGCATATCCAGGGAAAGGAAGCCTATCCCATTCTGGATAATTGCCCTATAGCAGGGGTGTCAAACTGCCGGCCTGCGGGCCGGTTTCATCATACCGAAGCCGCGCCCACTCCATTGCCGGCAATGCAAAAACAGTTGCAATACGTCGCGACACGTCATGTGACATGGCGAGTTTGACACCCGTGCCCTATAGGAATCTGCCTTCCTATAATTGAAATGCATTATTCCATGTCCTGCACTCTGGAAATGAGAGAATTCCTATTGAAAAAAAAGCAAGTATTGATCATTCTGTGTGATCTCATTTAGTTGTTTGAATAATGAGTAATATACTCCATTATTCTCTTCTCAAAGCTAAACATCCCCATTTGTTCAATTTCCTTTTAAGGTTTAATTTCTAATTCCCTAATCACCCTATTGGCTTTCTCTGAACCTATTCCAATTTATCTGGATCCTTCTCAAAACATGCCCAGTATTCTCAAAGTCAATTATAACCGTTTCAGAACAAAACTGGCCTTGTAGCTTCTTTTGATTTATATGGTCTTACCACTCTGCCACTAAAAACAGAAAACAATGAAACAAATCAAATCAAAATGATATCTCTCAGTTCTTCAAAGCCATTCAGAAGACAGTCACCTAGCCATGGCTGCCACCTGCTTTTTGAACAAGAGACAGGAGTCTAGGATGATGAACAAATTTCACGTTGATTGTAACTGGGGCAGTGCAAATCTCAAACCAAAATAAGGCTGGATCTCTCCCTCCTACCAACAACTGGAACAGGTCCTGGAGAAAGGACAGCAATCTTAACACGGTGCTTCCCACTCCCAACTCCTTATGTAGAACTAGAAGAATGCCATGATTGATGGTAGGTATATCATGCTGTTGAAAAATTAAGGAGGGCCAGAATGGATGCACAGCTCCCATCCTGACCCTGCCGTAGGATGTCACTAAGTGTGATTAACACCAGTTCAGTTAGGACTCAAAACGCAGCTGGACGGGATCCAAAGAATCATCTTCCTCTAGGGCCCTCTTAGCCTGCAGCCTGACTACCTTCTCAACAACCTTTTCCAGAAAGGGAAGCTTGATTAGAAATTATTCAACTCATTGTTGGATCCAACAATGGCTTGTTGAGGAAGAGACAAACTCTGCTGGAACCATCTCACTTAAAGATGAATTCAACATTGCTTGTCCGCAATGACTCTTCATCTTCCAATGTGCCTTATTTTCCAAAAGGAAGTTGAATCTAATAGTGGCTCTTTTCAGAGTCCGAAAATCCTATCTAGGCAAGCTATATCTAGGATCATTTTGAGTCTTCAGATTCAGAAGTTAAAGAGACTCCAAATTTTAGCACGCATCACAGAAATCAGTTGAAGAGAGGACAACTGAGGAGATGCAGGGGCAAGCAGAGTCACCTGATCCAGAACCTGAGCTAGGCAAGACCCCAAACACATCACCAATTGCAAATGAAGAAGGGGGGAACAAACATCTATGGAGATTCTCGGTCATCTACTGTAGTTCATGTTTGTCTCAAGGTGCTTTTTCCAAACTGAAAAAACCAGACTTTCTTGGCTTTTTTCTTTGAAAACGTTTTGCTTCTCATCCAAGAAGCTTCTTCAGTTCTGAGGAACTGAACTGAATTGAAGAAGCTTCTTGGATGAGAAGTGAAACATTTTCAAAGAAAAAAGCCAAGACAGTCCAGTTACCTTTTGGAAAAAAAAGCCCTTTGAGGACAAAGGAAGAAAGAGCAAGGAAATGAAGCCATCCACCACTTGACGGAAGTGTGATTCAGCTTGTTATAAGGGCTATATAAAGAAAACTGTCTCTTGATTGGTTCTTTATGGCAATAAACATTCAATTCCCTGACTGCTTGTAACTCTGTTAGTATATGTTTTGGATTTCTTAGCTTATCCTACTGAACTCTGGACTAGAATCTGGATACTCTTGGATCGTTTCTGAAACGGCGTTTTGTCTTTCTGGACTATCTGAAAAGTAAGATTTGTATTTGAATTGTCCAAGCAAAGAATATGCAGTTTTTAATGTTTTTATGTTATTACAGTTAAAGTTGTAAGACTATAATAAACAGAGAATATATCAGAAAATGATTGCATGTATGCTTAGTAGCATAGAAGACACCATACCTCAATCAACTCAGTAGATATCTGCACAGCCAAAGTTCTATAGAAAGTAGCTATGAACACTCAGTCTTGAATAATTCTCCCAACAGACCTTCTTCTCAAATGATCCTATAATTGATCCTTCCCTTAGAGAGACTAGGGTTCTAAACAGGGCTGCCAAAGGGCAACCCATGGATGTAGTCATAGAAGATAAGTAGTTATGTTTTGCTGTTGTAAGTTCAGCTCACGGGCCGACATCTGGATTGTTTAATAACCGGGCTGGTTTTAAACACCAGATCTGTAATCTGATGAAATTGTGTATAAGAAGACGTGTCATGTAGAACACAAAGCCTGTTCTAAAAGAATATATTACTTGAGAAAATATCTGTTCAATACCATTTTCAGTATATTAGATAACTGAAACCAGAGAGTGTGTAAAATATTGTTCTAAAATTACATATATCGTCCAGTTAATTGACATGAAGTGGAGAATCTCTCCACTCCAAGACTGGATGGTGTCCACCTTCCGGGGAGCTCGTCATTTTAAAGACACATTATGTATCTTGAAGCAGTGGGGCTCAGTTGATTTTGCTTCTACCTAGCCTTTCCCAACAGGAACTGTGAGAGGAATTACATTTCTTAGACATTTCAACTTTCCAACAGTTCCTTGAAATGGTGGCTCCATGATACCAACTTTCCCAGTCCCTCACTTTTCCAGGTGAAAGGAAAAAAGATGTAGCTTCAGGAAGGATGAGGCATATCACCTAAGACCTTTATACTCAGAGATCTTCTGTGTTTCTATACACCATTTCTGTGGTCAACTTGAACTCATGAATAGGAAAAAGCAATCCTGCTTCCTGCTTCCCATGCATTCAACTAACTCTACAAAGAAGCTACAGAGTTGTCATTGTACCTAGTTAAAGTTCTCTCTCTTTAGAAATTCTGATTTTTCATGATTTCCTGTCAAATAGAAAAATATAAATACATTCTTTGCTAATTTTTACACCAATGTTAGTTGTAAAAGAAAAGAGAAAAATCACTCACCTACAAGTTCAGTGTAAAAAGTCTTACACATTTTGCTAGGTGCTGTTATAACTCTATAGAAGTAGCTCAGACCTAGTGAACATGGTATGGGAAGCATTTAACATTGTGTTTTGTTGTAACCTGTGATTAAATAACAATTACTCTACAATACTACTACATGTGTATTCAGGAAGAATGTCCAATAAACACAGTAGCCTATTATTAAGAAACAATAATAGAATTAGGCTGCATAAAATTAAGGTTGGGCTGTTTATATATACCAATAATAGATTATATAACGTTTTGCAGATTTGCATGGTCCGCATTTATATAAATAGATGCTTTGGAGTTTGCATGCCAAAAATGATACTATCTATTGAAGTCTGATGTGTAGCAGTTCTAGGTGGTCATGTTACACTGCACTGAAGATCTGAAAGACACTCAGTGTTGGTAAATGGATAGTTTTCCCAGTAAGGAACATCAGACTCATAATTAGAAAAAGAATATCTCAGATTTTTTAACGGCTTATTGCAGAAATCCAGTTATAAGTGACTTAGAACACGCACTCCATCTTAGTGCAGTCATCTATGCTCCAATTTCTCTTTTAGCTTAATGCTTTGTTTTTGTTTTTTTTCCTGCTCTGAAACCAACTGAACAATGGTCGCTGGTAAACTGTTGGAAAAGTTTAGGGTAGCTTTTGACACTTCTTCAGACTTCCAAGACAGGACAAATTTCATGCTGATTCAAAGAGGAGAGGAGAGATAGCATGTCTGTCTGCCTGCCTGCCTGTCTGTCATCATTATATTTCTATCCTCCCTTTAATTTGTAGAACTCAAGGAGACGTAATATAATATGTCTGGGCCCTACTTTCCCCACAAAAACAGCTCTATGAGGTGAGTTGGCCTGAGAGAGGGTGCCTTGTCCAAAGTCATCCAGTCAGATTTCATGCCTAAGGGAGAACTTAAACTCAGTCTCCCAGTTTCTAATTCAGCATCTTAACCACCTCACCAATCTAATGTTGCCTAAACTTTGAGGTGCTGTGTAAGACAACAGAAGACTGAATTCTGAACAGCATAACACACACATACATTGGCTGTCCCATTAATAAATATGTATAACGTAAAGAAATTCAGCGGATGCAGCCCTTATGATACCCTTTGTTGTGTTTCTGCTTCTCTCACAACAGTTAAAGACCAAGAAGTCTGGAGGAAATAAAAAGCAGCAGCTCTAATCAAAAGCTTATGATGCTTTTGTCTGTGTGTGTGTGTGTGTGCTCCGAATCAATTGTGATCCAGCTCTTTAATTACAGCCCGAACAGAATGTTTTGATAGCTTTCCTGGACTACCCAGTTGGAATTCAGGAAGAATTTGTTCTTAATTAAATAAAAAATAAAAAAAGCAAGTTAGGCATCAGCCAGCCTCTGGGAGGGTTAAAAATAATCACCTGCAGTTGAAATGGGACTTGGGAACTAGGAAGTGCTGTGGCTCGCGTTTCCTGTATAAATAAGTACAGCTTTCACACAGCTCTTGCATATGTGTGGTGACATGTGCTTTAAGAGATAATGATAACATGCTTCTAATAGCAGGGAGGAGATTATTTCTCGTAGTGACGGGAGGGAGGGAGATGAGTGCACTTTCAAGCCTATAACATGTAAAGCCTTCCCATGCAGCAAGGAAGAACGACGGAAAGGAGGAAATTGTTTTATTTTTCAGGCTCTGAGCTCTTGCTGGCTGTGACATGTCTTGGAACTACTGAAATGTGAGTGAAGCTGTTGAAAAGTCCAGCAATGAAGAGGGAATTCTCCTCTCCGTTTGTCAGGTATGTCAGAAAGATCTGCATTTCTTAAGAGCAAGGACTGTGGATTCAGGGGGCTATGTAGTTTTTTCATTTTCAGATGTGGGGGATCTTAAACAGAAATCATGCTTGCTATCTAATTTAACTTAAACTGTTGGTAGTGTAATTGTAAGAAAACTGAGGCAAAAAATTACTGTTTTTAGATGCTCAGTGCCAGGGCTCAAACTATAACACAGTCGTGTGTCTGTAAATGTATGTGTGTGTTTTGTGCATGGGTATCTCTCTCAAAAAATGATGCTGACTTGATCAGTGCAGCACTTAAAAAGAGTAATTTTATCTGTAGGGAAGATGAAACTCAAATGGGTAAGGTTACAGGCTCATCCATTTGAAATGGAAACTTGACAGTTTATGCAAAAAGATAATATAAAAGGGACGAATGAGAGAGTCTGTCTGAAAACATACCCATTTATTGTAGATTGTGGATATAATTGGCAGTACAGTTTATCTGTAACTTGTATGTGAAAAAAAAATCACCAGGTTATAAGGATATTTTATTTGTTCAGTAATTTAGAAAGTACAGTCGCAGATAGGCTGGGAAATATTGAAAGAGTAATATATGGAAGTCTGTCTTTTAACACAGATTACCATTTTCTAAACAGAAAATGAAATGTGTGTTTACATATTTATAGACCTCTTGGAAACCAAATCCTTGTGTAGTGGTCTTAGTAGAAAGCAGTTGTTTCTGCTTTGCCTTTGAAATATTATTGTGTGTCACAAAGGAGCTAATAAACCCTCAGAATTTGAATTCCAGTTAAGTACTTTGATTTTTTTTTAAAGTACTTGTATAAAATGTGTTTTCTGCAACATACATTGGTTTGCAATTGTGGCGAATATCTGTAGCTCGAGTGTAGGATGAGGGAAAAGGTTTGTCCTCCGAGCTTGTGGGTTGGTTTCCGAGTTTCAACTTCAATTCCGCTGAAGATGTTGCCTAGCCTGGTAATGAAACGTTCAGAAACCAACCCCCAAGCTTGGAGAACAAAACTTCACCCTCATACGTTGGTTTACTTCTGGAAACATGGTTCCAGAGACTTCGAACTGCCTCTGCTTGTGGAATTTTGGTTCTCTCACTTTCATCTTAACCTTGTTGAGATGATCCAAACTGGATTTATGCACAAGTCAGAGGGATTTAGTATCATACCTTCTGGCATTTTCACAATCTTCAGTCATTAATTGTAACCCTTGCTACCTTGCTGCCGTTTCTGCACAGTATACAATCTGTATTCAGTGTTTATCTTCATGGGATGAATGTTTGCATAGACTACTGTAATACTGGGAGAAACTGAGGGTCAGAGGTAGGGTTTTAGGTAAGGTCCTCACCCCACTATAGTGTCCTCACCCACTATTGTACAGAATAACAGAAATGAAAGGGATCTTGGAGGTCTTCTAGTCCAACCCTGTGCTCAAGCAGGAAACATTTCAGACAAATGTTTGTCCAGTCTCTTTTTTAAAACCGCCAATGATGGAGCATCCACAAATACTGAAGGCAAGCTCTTCAACCGATTGATTGTTCTAACTGTCAGGAAATTTCTCCATAGTACTAGGTTGATTCTCTCTTTGATTAGTTTCCATCCATCGCTTCTTGCCCTGCCTTTAGGTACTTTGGAGAATAGGTTGACCCCCCCCCTCTCTTCTTTGTGGCAGCCCCTTAGATATTGAAACACTACTAACATGTCATCCCTACTCTTTCTTATTTTCTCTTGAAAATCAGCAATGCTGTTAAAGCTTAATTTATATCCATTTTTCCTCCACAAGCAGCCGTAACAATATAGTAGGACAGGACAGGTCTCATTATCCGGCAAATAAGAGGACTGGAGAGGTAAAAATTACATTGTATTAAAACCACTGGAGTTAGAAACAGGTGAAATGGATGGTTAGAAGGACTAGTTCTACCTGACAGTTCAGTCAAGGTTCATGATATTCTCCCAATAAAACCTTGTTTCTCATCTTTTTTTTCTGCTTTGAAAACAGCTGAATGTCCATCACTGGTAAATAGCTGGAAGAGTTAATGTAGTTTCTGGCATTTCTTCAGGTTTCCAAGGCAAGCTGAATATTTAAGTTCTATCTGAGAACCCTTTGTAAATATTACTATTAACCTTGAAACTTGGAACTTTCTTGACTCCTATCTTCCTCACCAGTGCAGAGCTGGATTTTTTTTTGAGCTTTCCTATTAATCCATTGCTTTCAGTAGAGGTATGCTAACATGAGTAAGTTCCACATTGCATAGTAATGACCAAAGATAAAATTACACAGTGAAGTCATTAATTCAGTTTGCACACATGCTAAGGACTTTGGAATATTGAGATATGAAGAGCACAGACTTTTTCTGTTAAATTGTGGCTAATAGCCTGCAATCAGTAAACTCGACTGAGCTCATTTTCATTCAGGTGCAACGCTGAAAACTGGATCAGCTTTGCCAATTGTTTTGAATAACAGATGGGGTCTTTTTTCTTTCTTTCATTTTGCATGTGATTCAGATCTTTGTTTATTTTGGTAATGCTAAGGGAAGAAAGCCTGAATTGGAAGAAGACTAAAGCCTGCATGAACTAAGGGAGACATTGTTACGGATGATAATAGAATCATTACAAGAGGCTAACAACTCCAGTATCGGAATACAAATTAAAGCATTCCCAGCAAATTATTGTTTAGTCTCCGCTTCAATACATCCATAACGGACTACAGAAAAACCTTTTGTCTTTGAATAAGCCAAAAACAGCCTGGAATTTTCTCAAAAAGGATTTTCTCCCCCAGCCATGTGAATTAGAAATTATCATAGCTGACTTCTCTCAATGTGCTAGGCTAGAATGCTTCAGGTCCCTAATTTATTGATTATAAACAAGAATTCCAGTGCACACTGCCTTATCACTACCACTTGGCTCCTCCTCCAAGTGGGAGGCACTAAATTAATTAGGACTTCAGGTCTTAAAAAGCCATAATTCTATGGCTCAATTCTTGACATTGGCTACATTCTCCTTAAGATTTGGTGAGTAGAAACAACAGTCCTTAACTTACTGAAATAAGATACAAAGTATCTAACTGAAGCAAAGGCAAATATTCTTAAACAATAAACCCAGGAGTAATATGATATTTATTTTATTCTCTGCTGACATTTCTGAACATAAAAGTTTTGGGATCCCCTGTACTTTCAATCTCATTAAGAGACAATTCTGAGTATTGTTCAGTAGTAGGTAAAATTAGCAAGACTCCAAATATTGACTTAGTTGTCTGTGTCAAATTACTCTGTGCTCAGAATTTGCTGTCTTTGTTTTTTTTTTTTTTATAGAAAAGGGTCTTTCAGGAGGGACCTAACTGGTCTTTATTATATAGTAACAAGAAAGTATGAAACTAAATTTTAATTTGAAAACGATATGGCCAAGTGTAGTGGTGAAGTTCCTGTCTTGATACACTCATTTGTTTGAATGCCAAAGCATAAAATGTATGATTAAACTGGCTTAGCTGTGATACTTCCAAATTCTTATATGATGAATAATAGGCTAAATTTTCCATTGGTGTTGTGAAAGCAACCTATAGCTGAGTAGTGTAGGAAATACTATGTGACCAGAAAAGGTTTTAAGCTATAGACCAAGCTTTAGCAACTTTTGGGCTAAATGTATCTTCCTACAGCTTCAGGACCCCCTCTTCATTTTCTTGTGAAAATTGATGAAAATAAAGTTTGTCCCTGATTTTTAGTGGGAAGCTACATCATCATCATCATCTAATTATTCTGCACGTTTAGTCTGGTCGATTTCATTCTAATGCTAACGAAAGGGATGGGACTAGAGTGTTTTGATCTTATCGTTTTTTCTTTTCTTTTTCTTTGTCTTTAGTTGATTTATATTAATCTACCAAGCCCACTTTCACTGTTGGGGAATTTAATTAGAGTTTTACCTCTCATCGATGTACCATAGAATGGGACAGGATAAAACTTTGGTGTAATTTGAATAAATGAGTGATTAATCAGCTAGAAAAATGAGCACTGGGGGATATTTGTGCCCCTATTACCTCTTTCTCTTTGGGCCCTGCCCACTCTTTGACATTCCGTACAAGACTGAATGTGCCTCTTGGCACAAAGGGGCCTTGCAGTTTCTGCTTTGATAAATGCTGTTCTTTTGTTCCATGAGTTTCGATTCTGGAAATCAGTTAGTGAACCTTAACAGTGTTGTTGACCTTTATCTGGAGACACTAGCATTTATGATATCCACAAGACTTGGCAGAGATAATGCCACATTCCTTTTCAATACCACAGTGCCCTGGCTTTCTTACAAAGATTTTCAAGGTTTGGTCACAGACTGGGAGCAATGTTTTTGTTGCCTACCTTGGTTTTCCTCCACTTGTTACCACACTAAAAACTAATGGAAATGCTTCCACTGAATTTTGTGAGGAGAAAATTAAGCTATAGCAGCCTGGGACATGGATTCTGGGAGGACCAGAACCTCTGCTCTTGCTTCCTGCTGATGCTTTACAAAAGTAAAACTATGTGGCTCATTGAACCAAGCTTTTCATTTACTGCAAGGATCCTTGTAGAGGTAGCCCCCCCCACTTACGATCACAAGGGAACCAAAAATGTGTATTTCTAAGTTGATAAGCGAGTTTTGCCCCCTTTTGATGACCTTTCTTGCCAGCGTTGTTAAATGAAGCACTGCAGTTGTTAGGTTGTTAAGTGAATCTGGCTTCCCCATTGACTTTGCTTGTCAGAAGGTCTCAGAAGGTGATCACGTGACCCTGGGGCACACTGCAACCATCATCAATATGAACCAGTTGCCAAACGTCTGAAATTTGATCACTTGACCATTGGGGGATGCTGCAGTGGTTGTAAGTGTGAAAAATGGTTGTAAGTTCGAACAGTCACTAAATGAATGATTGCAAGTTGAGGACTACCTGTATTGTTTTTGGAGCTGTTATGGCTACTTATTGGGCCTTGAGGGAAAAGGGGAAGACGATCACAAGGAGGCATGATGGGATGGTAG